CCGTCTTTCTCGTGCTGCTTGGCAGCTTCGAAGAACCAGGCCGCCGGCGTCATCCTCGGCATACCGAAAATTCCGCGAGGACTTTGGCCACCAGTTCAATGACGAACATGTCATTGATGCCTCGTGGCAAGCTGCGTTCAACGGTGCTCCATCGCTACGTGAAGTTCTTTCCGGTCCCAAAAAAGCCTTGATGTTCCAGAATCTGACTCAATACCCCGTTGCCAGGGCCGTCATGGGTGCTCTGGGAGGTGGACAGCTTGCAGACTGGATCGGCCGTAAGAAGGTCATCATGATGGCACTCATCATTGCTTACGGTGCCATCACGATGGAGCTTGTGGCTACGAGTCCCGCCTTGTTCTTGGGGGGCAAGCTGCTCAATGGCTTCTCCATTGGCGCCATCCAGGGAATTACAGTGACCTACATTGGCGAGGTTCGTTCATGAGCCAAGACCTGTGCACGTCTGGAAACATCATACTGATCAAAGCTCGTCTTTTCAGGTCACCCCTCTTGCGCTGCGCGGCATATTCACCTGCCTGTCTGCGCTGTCATACACAATCGGTCCCCTCATCGTCGCCCTCATCGTTAATGAGACGGGCGACCTCCCCAACCGATGGGCCTACCGCGCCGTCTTCGTCGCACAATATGGCTTTGCTGTCATTGCAACCCTCTTTGTGGCCTTTATGCCAGAATCGCCCTGGTGGCTGGCTTCCAAGGACCGTGACGAGGCGGCCCTCAAATCCCTGAACGACCTCGGCCACCGTGGGGACGAGGGTCAGAAGCGTCTTGCCGCCATCAAGCACACTCTGGCACAGGTCAGCTCTGAGACTGCCGGCGCTACGTATCTCGAGTGCTTTCGCAAGTCTAACCTTCGCCGCACCATCGTCTCCATTGCTCCCCTCTGCATTCAGTCCCTTAGCGGCGTGATGTTCGCCGCCGGATACAGCACTTACTACATGCAGCGAGCCGGGTACAGCACTGCTATGAGCTTCAAACTCCAGATCACCCAACAAGTCTTGTCGACCATCGGCAACGTCATGTCATGGTGGCTGATCGATCGCGTCGGTCGCCGCAGCCTCACTTTCTGGGGGCTCTTTGTCCTGACCATCATTCTCTTCGCCACGGAAAGCTTGGCCATCTTCGCCGACCGCGAGCCCGGCGGACCTGAGGCTCGTGCTACGGTTGCTTTCATTCTGATCTACTGCTGGTGGTACAACGCCACTATCGGCGCCACGGCCTATACTGTGCTCTGCGAAGTGTCCACTTCGCGCCTCCGCATCAAGACTATTGCCATCGGTCTCGCGGCACAAAACAGCTTGAACGTCATGTTCTCATTTGTGCTTCCGTACCTCTTCAACCCGGATCATTTGAATCTGGGAGCCAAGATCAGCTACATCTTCGGAGTGCTGGCCATCATCTCACTCGTCTTCTTGTGGTTCTACCACCCCGAGACGGCTGGAAGGACGTATGAGGAGCTGGACGAGATGTTCCTGAAGAAGGTCCCCGCTCGGAAGTTCAAGTCATATCAGCCTGACACTGCGGCCATGGGCGAGGTCGTCAAGGCTGCATTTGAGAAAGAGGAGCTGCAGGGCGAGGTTACTCATCGTGCTTGAGCATTGCGATCAAGAGACGTGTCTTGAAAACAATGCAGAGGAGGCCACATGGTAGTCTTGCTGAGTAGAGATAATCCATGGAATTTCACATCGCAACAAAGTCGAGACGAGTTGCTACAATTATGATTTGTGATATCCATGTGGCGGCCCAACAGACAGTCTTACTATCTGGGGCTCATCCTTTGAAAGGATGTGCACTCCAAAAGCATCTCTTCATATCAACTCTTCAATGTTGTTGGCCTTGTATCAGGAGACACCTGCGGAGCCTTATTACATGGGGGCTCGCGGGTTGATATAGGGGGTTTGAGACCACGGAGGCGCGTTTATGGGGATTGAAAAGGGCCAAATTCAAAATTCATTCCTACCACATATCTAAAACTGACTGCGAAGGCCAGCTACGGAAGACTTTCGCTCTGTTCTTGATCCCTCCTTTTTCACTCTTCATCGTTAACGCAGGCCACAACAGGCAAACACAACCAACGCCGACGGTTCGTACATCTTAGTCTATCAAAACGCTTGCTACCAGAACTAATTAAAACCCGAATTTTCATGAACCCTCTATTCTCGACGCCAGCAATGCTCTCACTGCCTCGACCAAATCCCGTCTGGCAACTAACTGTCCTTTATCTTTCTGCGCAGCATTTCTGTCCCCGACGTGAAGTTGCTTGACACGAACCTGTCCAGCATCCAGTTCCTCCTGACCAAGTATGACAGCGACGGGCGCGCCCTCTGAGGCACTGAATTGCTGTTGCGGTTTAGGCCTGACTTTGGCAGTAAACTCGGCCTGGATGCCTGCGTCCCAGAGCTGTCGAGCCACCTCCATGCGCTCGACCAAAAGGCCTTCAAAGTCCTTGTCCCCAAAGGCCATGACGTAGACATCGGTCTCGCGACCCAGCTCGGAGGCTTTTTTGCTCTTGCATCTCTCAGCCAAGAGGGTGAAGATCCGATCAATTCCAAATGATATACCTACACAAGGCATGGGACGTCTGCCGTACATCCCTACCAGGTTATCATAGCGACCTCCGGCAGCAATGCTTCCGACCTGAGTGGACTGGCCATTGATACGGTCAGGGACGATCTCGTAGATCAGCCCGGTGTAGTAATCCAGACCTCTTGCTAGCGATAGGTCAAATGAAACCTTGGAACCTACGCCCATGGCTTCTATGTAAGTAGCAAGCAGTTTGAGGTCGGCTACACCTTCTTTCACATTCTGATTCATGATCAGGTTGGCGTCTGCCTCCAGATTGGAAAGTATCTCGCGCATGGTGCCACTGCGCTGCACATAAAGGCCCACGTGCTCGGCAGCCTCTTCGGAAAGGCCCTTTTCGATCATCTCTTTCTTCACTTCGTCCCATGACATCTTGTCCAGTTTATCAACAGCGGAACTGATGGGGCGAATCTTATCATATGGCACCCCGGCTACTGCGAACAAGGCGTCCAAGATCTTACGGTGGTTCAGTTTGATAGTGATGCGCATATCGAACGCCTGAAAGACCTCGGCAATGATGCGCAGGATCTCGGCATCAGGGATCATGGGATCGTAGATGCCCGCAATATCGAAATCGCACTGATAGAACTCGCGAAGGCGTCCGCGGGAGACGGCAGGCTGGTCACGGCGATACACTTTGGCGATCTGATACCGCTTGATGTGCTGAATATCACTGCGCATGGCAAGCCAACGTGCGAAGGGAACGGTGAGATCATATCGTAGGGAGCAGGCTTCGCCGCCCTGGTCTTCGAGGTTGTAGATCAGCCGTGAGTCCTCGCCGTATTTCTCAGACAGAATGTTCTGAAGCTCGAAGACCGGCGTGTCCAAGGGAACTCCACCGTGGCGTTCAAGCGCGTCGCTGATTGTTTGGCTGATATACGTGTCAGCGAAAAAAATGGATCGCGAGATACTCTCGGCGACACGTACAAAATGTGATTACGCAGTAACAGATCCTGACCAACCCAGTCCCGAGTACCTTTGGGTGTTTTGAGCTGGGTCCCTTGTCGAGATTGTGCTGTATCTTTGGTGGCCATCCTGCCAGGCGGATGGGTGAAATGGAGCGGGGTAGGGTTGTGTAGAGAATCAGGATGCTGATGTTTGGTGTGCCGATGTTGGTACTCATCGAAGCTTTATAACAACCATGTGACTCATTGCACCCCCAGCAAGAGCTGTATGACCCTCTTCAGACAGAACTCTTGGATGTCGATCACAGGGATGGAATTGTTGAATTCCCTATCGGGTTATTTTACAGGACGCGTATTGATTGTTATCATGTCCGATGTCCCCAACTGCCAGGCTTTCCAGCATCGAGCCTCGTCCGCATTGTTGGACATTTTCGACTTACTGCGATCGCCTTTGACAGATTGAGACGCATTTGCCTTTTGCAAGACTATGTAACTTAATCTTGAAATATCGCGACAGCACTTAAGAGCCATCTCGTCGCGGCGTGTTTTCCGCCGGTATTTCCAGCTTCAACTGCTGCACTCGTCCCTTCGCTTCTTTCCGTCTTTCGACCTCTTGCAGGCAAGGAATTGCTCCTTGCCAGTCACTCCAACTGAGGCAACGCCCACTTGCGCATCCACTCGGACTCCAGTACTTTGTCTATACTCAACCTCCCCTCCGGCCGAAACTTAAGCATGCCTCGCATCAAGTCAAGGATCGCTCGCGCTTCCTCATCCTCAAAAGTCCCTGCCGCCTCTCGTTTCCTTCTGTATTTTTGTACAAATCCTTCAAACGCCTCCTCGAGAGGGGGCCAAGCTTCCCGATCTCCCACGGGCCGACATGGGATTTCTCCTTTCCCGTCTCCTTCCGCTTTGTTCGCTCGTTCCCAGTGTTTCCGCCAGCTGGATGGAAAGCTTTGGGAGCCTAGGACGTCGATCTGCTGAGCCACAATCTCGTCCTGTGTTTCTGACTCGCTGAAGATAAATTTCATACCCAGGATTTCCCAGATAGCAGTCCCGAGACTCCATATATCCGACGAATAAGACAGCGGCTTGTTGGGCTCAAAAAGAGCCTCCGGTGCTCTTTTTGCCAGGGGCGTGTTACAGTCCTTACCGAGACGCTGCTCTGTGCCTGGTGTGAAGGCCTCGCCAAAGTCGCTGAGAACAAGGCCACGCGCATCAGATAGAGTGAAATCTTGAGCTTTTTTCCCGAGGTACAGGGGTACGACGGCGCGAGGCGGTATGTTGGCCGGAAGCGGCCCTCCATCAACACGGGTAATAGGAACAGTCTCAGGCTCGCCATACTTCTGCCTGAACTGATCGATTGTGAGTTGGTCGAGTGTCGATGGCAACTTGACCAAGACATTCCGAAGATGTATATCTATAAAGGGTTAAACTCGATTGACCGGGCGGGTATCGGCTTGACAAACAAACCTCCGTGCACGTAGCCGTGCGAATGTACGAAGGCGACAGCCATGGCCAGTCTTGCAGCAAGTGCCCGAGCGACCTGAATAGGGAAAGGCGACTGAAAGATGCCTCTTTCAAATTCCCTTTGTGCAGGAAGCATCACGTAGCATGCATGTGTTCCGTTGGGGCCTTGAACATCGAATTCGTCCAAAATGCTTGGTATGGCGTCATAAGTATCAGTACCTGTTGGGGTAGCATGGGATGCTGATCTTGGACGAGTTAATGCGCGAAGAGTTCTTGGCTCGTGTCGAGAGAGTGCTGGATCAGCAACTCCGACTTTGACAGCCACATAGCGTCGCAGTTGGTTGTCCTGAGCGAGCCATATAGTTGAGTAACCAATGACCGCTTGTCTACTACGCGGTAGCGACCGTGGAGAAGGAAAACCATGACAGGATGGTAGCCACCAAGGACATACTGTTCCAGCCGTTCGACACCATCAATCCAATTGTACTTGTGCGATTGATCGTGTGACCTGGTCGAAAAGGGCGATCGAGAACAACTACTTGCCGTCGCGCGCTTTGAGGATAGTGACGTGAAAGAAAATCTCAAATATGAGATTTGGAAAAAGACATTTCGGAAAGGAAGTAGAGAGTGTGAACGACTCGCTAGGCAATGATTAACTGCATCTGTTATGGTATGTAGCATTGTCAAGCGAAAGGAGAGGAAGTGTGTAGTGAAACAACTGAGAAAGTATAAGCCAGCCTTTTTGTGTGGGGGTGACAACATAGATCGGTTTCTGAGGTATGGCACGGTGCCTGAATACACGAGATGGTTGCTGAGTCAACAACCCTGTCGGGCTCCTCCTGTCCACCATATGACCACGCAGGCTCTCTGGACACACTGCTCAAAAGATGACCAAATGCACTGCACCTAGGTACCTTGAATTCAAATGATAATATTTACTAAATACTAGCTGCTAGTTCGAGAAAGATAAGGTCTAAGAAACTCGTGCAGAATTCTTTGCTGCCAAGGCCATCGGCTTGTCTCGTGATACTTGCCTACGGGGCCGTGATTCTCGAATGAATACAGGATTGGAATATCATGTCGTTTGTCTTGGCCTTCAAGTCTTTCTGTTGCCTAACCTGCTGTTTAAAGTTCTGGCCGTGGAGCAAAGTAAAACAAGCATTTACCTGTACGGAGGTCTACTACCTCTAGAATAAGAACGGCCACTTTTTTGCTTCGGACACGCTACTACTCAAGATCAGGAGCTGGCTATCGAGCATTCTTGATTCGGGAGAACTGATCTCAGTTATCGTAGGATATTCCTTCCATGGAAGCCCTAATATGTGCCCCCAACTGACGATCCCAGCCCGTGCAGAAAGCGACGAGGTTGAGCTCGTATGGGCGGCCCCAAGCAACAAGCATCGGCAAAGAGATGAGAAGCGAAACCGAGGCGCAATTCCGAGCCAGCGATGCCCGTAAGTACGATAGCGTCGGAAGTCGTCGTCCATGCGGCGTCGATCATCTAAGTACGATTGTCTGGGTATTTCATCCAGAACCTTTTCGTGTATTCTCAAACGCTGCGATGTGGTTGACGTCTTGGGACCTTTGATATTGCCACAGCCATGTCGAGGGCCGAGGCGCCGGAGACTTCGGAGGACATAACGTAGGTCTCACCTGAAGCATCGTTCCTGTAGACGGAAGGCCCCTTTGGAATGTCCAGGCCGCTGTCCGTAAGAGCCAGTTTGTATACCCTGTAGAAGCTTCCCTAAGCTTGGTAGGGTCCAGCAGCTTGGTTCTGTGCTCTGGAGTCTTGGTCACCATATGTTGCCATGCATGTGATTATGTCCTTGAGTGAGGCCTCAGCGTGCCTAGCCAGGTAGATGGACGGCATGGAGGTGGCACGAGGAAGGGCTCCGAAAGCCAAAGCGCTCTCGAGGAATCGCCAAGGGTCGTGAATCAATCATGCAGCCTGTCTACCTTACTGTACTCTCAACCACCGTTTGCCGCTGCTCGTAGTCTGAACGGCTATGCCGAGGTTCCTGTTCCTGGATGAGGACCCATTTCTACCAGCATCAAGCTCCCGGAGCCAACCGAAAGCACTCTGAAAACTTAAAATATAGGACGAGCCGCGCGGAATCGCTCCATCATCCAGGAGTGCCGGCAGCCCGGATACATGCCCGACCAATCCGAACTCCCTGTCGGCTTGGCTGAGGCTCAGCAAACTGCAGCGCTTCACTGTCATAACACACGAGGAGGCAGCAGCAGGCGCAGATCCCGAGCCTATTTTCCGAATGATGCTTTGTACCGCCGCATCCGAATGCCACTCTCCTGGGACCCCGAGTCTCGGGTTGAATGACTGTTTGACAAGCGGCTTTCGCCCTCGAGCGTGTGTTGTACGGCTCGAATCGGCAACTTCTTACCTGAGGAAAAGAGTCCCAGGTCTCCAGATCTGGGCATTCCGCGCGGCCGAGGGCCGTCTTCTCCTCAGCACGACTTCGGGCAAGACTCCAGCGACGGGTGCTAGGCTTCAGGCGAATTGGGCTATTTCTCCCGCGCCACCCGACAGCTGTTCAGCCAAATGGCTCCGCATTGAAGCGGAGCACTATATTCAAATGAATGGGTACTTTGAGGGGACCCCAGACTCCAAAGCGCTCCAGGCCTCAGCGGGGCGGCGAGGCGACGGAGATGATGGGTACCCGACTTTCAGACGACGGGTACGCCCGAGCACATGGTCTGGAACCACGAGACGAGACCTGACATGGACCTGGATCCAGGATTCTCACGGCCGTGTGTAAAATGAGAGGGCGTGGAATCAATCAAGACAACACTCTCAGCAAGGTGATCCCAGGCTGATTGCCCACCACACTATCAAGGAGGCTGAAAGGACCCGGCGGGGCAGTCCGATGACTGAAGTTTGAGGGGAATGGCGCGATAGAGAATCTCCGTTGCGCTGAGAGGTGCGCCTGTTCCTCCGGCACTTAGACAGGAAGCTTTCCCCAAGGCGGCAAGTCGCAACACGAGGCGTCCTGCTGCTGGGCTGGGGTACTGCGAGCAAAAAAAAACAAGAAGAGGCATGGCGCGGTTTCCCCACACGGCCCCTGAAACTTGACTGCCGAGATCGCTTCTTGCTGGTTCGCGGGGACTAGGTCAACGTGACCAGTTCACGCCAGATTCGTTATGGTGCAGGACAAAGGTGGTGGCGCCCCCCATCGACATCAATCAGGGCCAAAAACCCCAAGTCAGTTAGTGTTCCCCGCGTTCTCGGCCGAACTTTGAGCGAAGTCATGAGCGGGCGAAAGGATACGGACCATGGTGCGCCGAGTGCTACTCCTTGCTCCTGTGACGGCTGATGATGGGCTCTATCGGAGAGTCAGTTGACGACGGCGTTGCCACGCACTATGGAGCCGGGCCCGATATATTAAGACAGCGGATCACCTCATCTCTCAAGGCTTTTGAGTCCACTTGTTTGCCAGTCGGTCTTCATCGTTGCTCTTCTGTTCATCATCAAACCGCCCAACATGCGGACCAATTTTCTCCTCGCCGCCGCGGCCTGCCTCGGCCTGACCTCTGCGCTGCCCACTGAAGACGTTGCTGCCCTCGAGGAGCGTCAGACGCGTGTGCCCACCATCTTCCTCTGTGGTGACAGCACCGTGGCCACCGTCGGCGCCAGCAGCCAGACTCAGGGCTGGGGCGCGTTCCTCCAGTACTCGTTCCAGACGTCCAAGGCCGTTGTCGACAACCGAGCCATTGGCGGGCGTAGCGCTCGTTCGTACACGCGCGAGGGCCGCTTCGACACTGTCGCCAACCTTGCGCAGTCTGGTGACTGGGTCGTCATCGAGCTCGGCCACAACGATGGTGGCTCCCTGTCCACTGACAACGGCCGCTCCGCCTGCTTCGGAGACGGAGAACAGACGTGCAGCACCGTGTACAAGTAGGTGCCTCGTATTGGGAATCAAGGCGTGTTATCATGTTGCTGACGTTTCGCAGCGGTGTCGCCGAGACCGTTCTCACGTTCCCCAAGTACCTGAAGAACGCCGCCAACAAGATGCTTGCCAAGGGCGCCAAGGTCATCATCTCGACCTCTACCCCCAGGAACGTCTGGCAGACCGGCTCGTACGCCTGGTCTCCCAACCGCTTCCACTACTACGGCTGGGTG